TAGACGGGAACACGACACCATGCAATAGTATTAACACTAAGGAACAAACCAATTTAAGTGTCTCCCTTAGGCAGAGAACAAACGAAGCCGGAGAACCCTGCTACCTGAACTTCTGGAAATGTCAAAAACAGATTTATGTGTTTTGGTGGTTGAGTCGACAAGATACTATCTTTATTACAAGGGGTTTACGAGAATTGGACAAACGGTAAATTCAATTCATTCGCAAGAGTAAGACTGGCATACAGGTTTCAAATGACGGGCTGTTAGAGGTTTGTAAAGCATTCGTAAACAGTATGGTGAACGAACGGCAAAATTCTGACACGAATTTGGCTCCACTATCCAGCCATCTCACAAGATCAATAAACTAGATGCCGTTTGCATGCTCACTTTCAACTATATCAGCTCATCTCCCAGCTGTTTGATGTCGTTTTTATGAACATGCATCCAGATAGAAGTAGAATTATCCGCTAATTGAAATCAGTGTTAGTCCCATGGTGAAGTGCAGCTCTCTTCATCGTCTTTCATTGCACATTAGTAGAGGAGGATTTCATGTTGAACTAAAGGTAGCTAAAACATGTGCCCAATTATTGAATCTTTCGATATCATTTGTAAATATAATCGCTGATACAAAATAGCCTATCCTTGACCTGACCTGTATGAAAAAAAAAGAATAATGGGGGCAAAATTAAAAAATATAATTTTAATTATATCTCCTTTTATGAATGCAGTTGTTTTAATACATGATGCACAACCATATATTATACTGTCGTAACGGTTACTATGGTAATGTAACAAATGTAACAGCACAAATGTAATAAACATACTTAAAAAAAACCTCCAAACTCCGTGATGCAAATGTGACCATTTCAATTTGGTAGCATCCCATGACCTTTCCCGACACTTAGAATCAGTGACTAACCTTTCATTTGAAGCACATTTGAAAGGTTTAGATCGAGTTCAAAACCAATTTTTGGCTGGTTATTTGAAGTATAAATATGCCTGGGAGCAAGGGAAATAGGAGCCTTTGATGGACCCTTTAAAGTTGTTTTTCCTGGAGCAAAACTCCCATCAGGAAACACAGTGTGAAAAGTGTTGTTTTGGAGTTTCAGGCAGAGCAACTAAAGACAATCCCTTTTGACATGTGGAATGTTCAAACGTGCTATGCGTGTTAGGCTGGGGCACAGAGTTCGATCAGATGCGGCGCAAAAACGAGAGTTTCTCTGATAAAAGGCGCAAATTTATCCTCTGAAAGTTAGGTCACAGTTAAAGCGTCTAAACACTTGCGTTGAAAGAGCCCTATCGAGACAAACCATCAGATTCCTTCGTCATTTGCCTACCGTGTGAAAAACCTAGTCATTTGCGTAACATATTAGCAATGGTCAATACTAAAAGCTCTGCTTTGGATGGGCAACCTAAGAAAGGCCTGTCTTTACTTAAGTTCTTTAATGCGATTTTCTGGACATTTATACACGGGAATTGGCCGCGTCTCGCCTCAGGGTCGACGCTGATGTTTGTTGAGTCACAGATATAGGGATTTTGGTGTGGTGTGTCAAAGGGTCGGCCTTCTGATTGGAATTTTGACATCAAATCCTTTCTTTGGGAGGACCTTCTCAACAGAGGTACCGCACAAGTCAACACAAGTGGACTTGATCTAGAGAATAGGCACTTTAATATGAATCACCCAAAATCATTAATACAATTTATCGTTTAAAATTTGTATTCCAGGAGCATTTAATCTCCTTCACACAGAGAGTATCACGACATGAGATGAATGGAAATTACCAACAAGCCCAGTAACCTTCCGGCCATGTCTTTTGTCTTCTCGTGCCAACATTAAGGATAATATAGATTTAATAACCCATTGCCGTATCACTCTTGAAATGTGTTAAATAGATGTCGCTTGTGTTTATTTGTATGACATATCACGATCTGGAGGCAATAATAAATATTTGTCCTCTCTCACTGACAGCAAGCTACGACGAAATGCTGGTGATAAGATGGTGTGTTTTTCACGCAAACGTCTATCTCGCTATTCCTTTTTCTGATGCGTGTATAGGATGAATTGGGTTACACCCTATATTCCGCACGTACAATATACACGGAATCCCTGAACGGCTGTTATTTGTTTATTTATATACACTTAATTCACACTATCGCTTTCCTAATGTAGTTTTTAAGCGGCGGCTGGTATGTTTGGTATGGGTCATTCAACACTTTATTTTTTCACGGGTGCTTTATCTTTTTTATTTGAAGAGTATGTCAATTTTAGTAGTAGTAGTAGTAGTAGTAGTAGTAGTAGTAGTAGTAGTAGCAACAACAGCAGTAGTAGCCGCCGTCGTAGATTTATTAACATCATGATCATCATCTTTGTTGTAATTATTGTCAATAAAATACATTTCACAAATAACAAAATAACACTATCATTCTTATTTCGCCCTGTTTGTATACTACATGTACACTTATTTACGTATACCTTTTAGAATTACCAACATTAAAAAACTACTCAACTTATAAGTACCTGAACGAGGATACATATTATGGATAACAACTTACGGAAAATGAAACAACGCTTCTGACAGGAAACATTTATAATACCCCTTGTCGTGTGAAACATTTGAGTTTAATTTGTCAATATTTTAGACTCTCCCGACAGGAAGAGCCGCGTCCCCAATGTCGCTCACTCCAGTCGCTATCACCGTGTAAGGTGTGTGAGAAGAGTGTCTATGTGCTTCTTAAAAAGTAATTTACCTCGCAATATTTACACGAATTCCTTGGTTCATCTCATGTCACACAAAACAGTTTAATTGCTGATGCTTAGAATTCCCTTACAAAAAACTATCTATATATCAGTCTATGTTTCAAAACCTAAAGGTTATTGGAAGATTTCGTTGAAAATAGAATGTATGTAGTACATGGACCGTGAGATCATAAAGATCACATGATAACATCATATGTTGTCCTGTGATCATATCCAATGTTGTCCAGTGATAAGATCCAGTATTGTCCCATGATGATAACGAGTTCCCAAGGTACTATAGACTCTTCATTTTGGTATGTCCAAACCACATTAAATTGTCGTCCCGTGGTGTTTGCCAGAATAGAATTATTATTAAACTTATATGCAACCCATCGGTGTGTATAACCTATACATTACAAATATCGATATTTCCTTAAAAGAAATATATTCTTTATCGAATATAAGACAAATAAACGTATATGAACAAATGAAACATTCTTTCAGCAAAATATCATTTCCCTTGCTAAATAAAAGTGACACGAACTTTCCAAATTCATAAAAAGTCTCTGTTATAGGCATTGTATGTTTCTGACTGTATCATAAAAGTCTGTTCTCAAATCCAATTCATACAAAGAACATTATCTTTTTAACTAAAAACCACATATATTACTGAGCACAATTTGCCTTGTATTTCTCAGAAGGATATGCTTCTTTCTTGCGTATAGAGAGAAAATAATTGCATCCAATTTCAATCCGGTGTTGTTACGCGTCAGTGTTATGCAAGTAGGTATGCATGCAGGTATGTATTCTCTTCTTTATCTGGATAATGCAATAACACTGACACCCATTTAACAGGTTCTAAACATGTACAGAGATAGCTCAAACCTTCATGTACACATGTGCGGGTCGATCTGTTCCCTCCACGTGACACACTTACAAAGGAAGACGAGCTCCCATTGCACGAAACACTTCTTCTGGGGTATATTTTCAACAAAATTAGATTTGTAAATTTTTATGCTTGCCATTTCTTCGCCTCCTTTTCCTTAAACTTTCGTATACTAACAATGTATTACAATCTGGGAAATAAACATTGTTGATTTTGACATTTACAATATTATTCACTGGACCATTCATTTTCATGATATTTATTTTAAACACATGCCAATATGTACAATTAGATGTTGTATTGTAGAATATTGGGACACAAAACACTTACTTCCAGAAAAAGCAATACATATTTAAATATGTAAATGGGTACACTTAAAAAGGACATGTTCTGATGTCAAAGGGGTCGTTGACATAATATGATCAAACACACTTAATTCGAATTGATAAATACAAACATCGAAAACGGAAATGTTAAGTAGACGAGTAACGTGCTGAAGTGGTTTTTAAAATTTGGATTCACCGCCGGTTTAAAATTTGAGAGTCGTGACACGGAATAAATCAAGGCGCTTTGCTGGACAATGCTGAGTGTAAATGCCAGTAAAGACCCATGTCAACAGCTATTGACAAGCATCAACTTGGTTCTAATCTCCTAATCCTCTAATCATAAAGGTGAAAGGAAATATGATGAGAAAGGAAGATTAATGTCTTGTCGATTTAACAAATATCGCCATGGAGTATATATAACAAATGACACGGAAAGCTGTGCTATGGCAAGAAAGGCATATGTATCTCCCAGACACTGATAATATTTTCCTGCATGTCAAATATGAGCTCAAGAGTCAACATTCCTATGTAACGTAAAACCGCGCACCTACTTCAAACTGAAAGAGAACCACAAAGCAAGTTAAACTTGCCTATACCCCATTGCAAGTTACCGTATATTTGAATCGGAGTCCACAAACTCTTGAATCGGGATTCGAGGCCCGTGTTACCGACCCAAGACAGAGACAAATTAGATGCCATATTTCATCTTGTTTCCCTGGTGTACACGCTCTTAACAATGCTCCCGAGATCTGATACTCTTCGCTACATTAAACCGTCTTCGGTTCACTGTTGACTAAATATACTCAGGGCTATCTTAAAGTCAGACAATATCGAGTGTGTCTTAAAAACAGCTAAAACTGGTCATAAATTTACAATTTGCAGGCAAAGGCTCTACGGTGGTGTCGGTTAGGAGTCGCCTACGAGTCCTTGAGGAGCGGAGGGATCACTCTCTATAAGCCATAACCTTTGATCAAGGTAAAATATTCGAATAACATACACAGAGAAGTCGTTATGGTGCCAAACAATAAAATAGAACAAATATCGTACTTACCACCAGGACGCATGAACTATTTGAAGCACGAACACAATGATGAATATGTACACTGTGTAACACGGCATTGTTCAACACTCATACGATATATATATCCAAATATTATAGAGTTTAGCACATCATGAAGCTTGTCTGCTCTGAGGTAGAGGCCGGTCCGATCTGACTGCTGAGACAATTGTGAGCGATTGCTACAGGCTACTGTACGCTATGTAGTCGATCTCACGTGAACGGCTCTCGTGGTAGAGGTACCTAGTTAACCGGCTATACACGGGTTTCTTACCACCGCTTGGATGGCTCGCGCTTATCGCACAGGGCTAAAGTTCCACGAGAAGCACTTGTCAGATCTTTCACCGTGAGCCTGATGGTCAAATTCACCCAAATTCGATTATATAAAACAGGGTGATACTCGATGGTCCAAGTTCCAATTTTCCGCTGGTTAATTTCAGAGGACACACAGGAACGTGTAATTCCCGCTGTATTGTTTCTAAGTAGAGGTTTTCACGGTATCGTGTGATTGGCGTTGGGTCCAGCGGACGATAATCACGTCGCGAGAGTTGTGAATAAATTAGGTAAACAAGCCCGGCCTACGGCGCTACCTCTCCACGAAGGGGGACGGGCTCCGATCAACACGCGACGGCTTCTCAAACTGATGAATTCAAACACGATGTTCTTGCAAGTATCTCTCTGCAACGCCTGGGGCTGTTCCTCTTCTGTTCTCACACCTGCACTGGACCACGTGGCTGAACTTCACCCAATAAAAGCACCGGACACTGGCTCAGAAGATATTGAACCTTCAACCTGTAAAACCAAAACGGAACGTCATGATATCTTCAGTATCCAAATGGCATAAATTCCGTATTTGACATGTTAATCGGCTTTATCCCAAACCTGTCACTTCACCAGCCCTCCCGCTGGTGTCACCTATTCTCTATCAATTGGGAACGTGTTGGGTGTTGTGTCCCATCAATACCTGTTTTCAGTGGTGTAATCTCTTAAAACAATCACCATCACACCACACAATATGGCATGTATTGATGGAAGAGTCATATCGTGTTTCTTAATCCAATCTTATTAAGCTCTTCTGCTTGAATGGGTGGAACAATTAGCTTCACCGACTCCTTGTCAAAACACTCTCGTTACCTGTTGAAGTAACCTTTTCAGGGATTTAATCCGACATTAACTGACACCGTCTTTTAGCACCCGGTGGAGGATATTCATTTGAATTAATCCGGTTACACATAATTAACTGTCATCTTAATGTTGGTGCATGTGTAAACGACAGGGAGGTTCACGTATATCCTTTCGCTATTCATTCACCCTGACTGTACCTTTCTAGGGAAAAAGTTGCATATTGGTTATTTAAAAGAAAAAAGAAAATCATATTCTTTCATTTGTTCTTTCTTGGATAAGGTGCATCAATCAAATAGAAACTATCCATAAATTGTGACTTCTTTGTCCTCCGTCAACTTCTAAGAGATTCCCATCAACCAAGAAACTATGGACTCAATAATTCAATCTTGTGCATTTTAGAGCCGATTTTACAAACTGAAAGATTAGTATAACACATTTTCCACATTTATGAATATATATTTATAAAAGTATTTATATCACATATATACAATAATTCGTAATAAATACTTATATCATCACAACACATAGAAGTCCTATGGTCGGAGTCGTACTGACGTAGTCTATTTAATAAAGCCTGTTCAGTATAAATTGGGTTGAATAATATTATCTATATAATGTGGGAGTGATTTTATATGAACTTGGATCAAAGAACATATTCTGATGTATTCTATTTTGAACTCATTTTTTTTGTTACAGTCTAATTTTGGTGAGTTCTATTCTTGGTGAAACGTGAATTGTAATCAAATTGTACCTGAGAGTGTCTGAATGTATCCATTAAATAGTTCCTATTATAATATCCTAAATACATATTTGCCTGTTGAAATGGACACATGTAAACATGATGGTGATGACTGTTTGATATGATACCACCAGTTTAAGTAGTACCGCACATTCTATTATTCCTAATACTTATACTACTACTTGTAATTTCAACGAATTAAAATTCTTATTAATCTGCTTTAAAAAATAAGAGAATTATGTGTGTTGTTTTGCCTTGCAATTGTATATCTCTTAAATAGTGCACTGTTTACTCTTAATACTAGTTTTAAGGTATAAGCATGTACACTGAATGTATAATATGATGTGAATCATGAAGGAGTGCGAAACTGAGTTGCCAAACACAAAATGCTTTTCAACTCAAAATATTAGCGGAAAGAAAACAAACTTTCTTCTTTTATAATAGCGGCCAATCATAGTACCAGTTTGGCATTAATTTATCAAAATTTCATCTCAATAAAAAATACCCTTTTCTGAAATCCCAGAAATAGAAACTGTTTTAACCACAATAATTTACTTTGGCTTACAAGTTGTAAATAACACTCTAACGCATAATGACGTGAGTCAAGCGTATCCAAATGATCATTAATATGAACATAAACGTTTAATGGGGAACTGTAGATTCAAACTGGGTGTATTAAAAGTGTGAAAATTGGTTCCAGGGATTTCAAGTAACATTGCACATCAATGCGAGATTTATAGTTACACAATTACCGATTTTCAAGTTTTCTTCCTGAATGTCATACCGTGCAAGTGACATGTATCATTTTACTGTAAAAGTGTCATGTTTATTATGTTTGGTTAAATAGACATAACGAGTCTCAAGGCTATGTCTTATAAACGAATGCCTCTAAAGAATTGCACGCTCAAGAGGTCATCAATGTAGCTGAGGTTTATGGTTTAATACAAGATCAACTTGTAGCATGAGAACAGACATTGGGCATGAGGGAAAGTCAGGTATAGGTATCTCTCAGTTTGTAAATATGTAATGCATCATTTTGAACTCCGTCAAAAAACTATGAGAGGTACGCAAAAAGAGTCAAAACTAAGTAACCATCGCAACCTGCAAAATACATTTTTTTAGAATTCCGGTTTGACGGTGGAGTAATGAACATAGTTCAATGAATTACGACCAATTTAACCTATGCATACTTTTTACCAAAAATGTCCTGTACCAAATACATTTTCTTGTATATATCATCCTAGGATAGCCTCCCTTAAGACATGGTATTACATAATGAGTTGCTAATTGCTTCAGCTCGGAAAGTTGAAACTAACACTTTGGTGAAGTTTTTGATGACACTACTACTACTACTACTACTACTACTACTACTACTACTACTGGTACTAGTACTGCTGCTGCTATACTACCGCCGTAATGTTGAATATAATCATTATAATATATAATACGTACTTTCTTTTGATTATGTAAGTCGATTATCGCGTCTTTACTTGTTATTCATAAAAGACCGCCAAGAAATTGGTGCTAGATATACTACAAGGCTATATATAATTTTCGAATATGTATTTCTCGTCATTATTGTAAATCAAAACACATTGTTTCCAATAAAGCATATGTATTAAGCGCATACATTAACCAACTTTTGTACACTGAGCAGGCAGACGTGAATAAAATATGTTTACTGTAGTAGCAAAGTAACATTACATTTAAATTCAAAAATACTTGATGATGACTCAATAGGAATTCTACTAGCCCCAACAGACGACTTTGAAGAAACAGGATTTTTATATCACGCAAAGTATTAGGTTTATTGCTTCTCGTCACTATTTCCCTTTAGACAATGGTTGTGAATGGAACAGTCTGTTCAGTAGGAATTTTTTTTTTAAAGAGTTAAAGAAAATGGTACTGAATTGTAAAGGGCATCAACTAAGAAAAATGTGATATTATAATATGAATATGGACTAACATATATAGGTTCATGTACGAAACAGATTCAAGTGGGGTTAAATGCAAAATAATGGTAAAAATGATAAAATGATAAATGGTAAAATTAAAATCGACCAAAGAGACGGCAGTGGTGACATATATTTGAAGGCTGATGCTTACAGGTTTAACGAATGTTGCCACAATGTCACCAACAGACGCTACGTGTGGCACAAAGTATAGATATGTCCAATCCTTTGTGAAAAGTTTTCCTTCCATTTCTGCTTTAAACCAGTTGAGTCATCCATCAGAATTCGAGACACCTGTCCTTTGTTTTTTTCAAGGCATTCTTATATTCATAAGTTGCATCCCTATAGGGTGATATAACTGCACACACATAATACCGTAGGTAACCCTCCGAAGAATTGATGTCCAAATATGATGATATAATGATCAAAATCTCTCCATATGGTATGACTGTTGCTACACTCCACATCCCCAAGAAAGTACGATGCTGGTCCTTTATTCTTATTACCCTGGACAGGAACACCTCCATGTACAAAATATTGTCATTTCCATGAGTTTGCGAAACATCCCAACATTCCTGTCATAAATGTTCGAACAAAGAACCAACGCACAGTCCCCATCCTCATCCCAAGTAAAACACCACCATGTCAATCTTCTTTGTAAACGAAGAGTTACAACGTCCAAGGAACATCCTTGTTCTATGACTTACTGCCGACGTCCGAAGGCTGCTAATTCAATGCCTCCTGACTTCGCCATCCTTGTTTGTACCGCGTAGTCCGACACACAACCTAGATGTATCGCTAATGTCGAGACAGTTTCACATCCATTAGCCATTCCGATCCATCACCTGGTCTCAGTGGTTACAGAGCTGACCATCAAGTGATAATCGGCTTGTAGTGCATGCTGAACAAGATGCTGTCCTTGCTACATCACACGTATCCTTGTGTAGACGTTGGAGAGAATAACACTGAACATATATACATCAGACATGCGTGCTATCCTTATACTTGAGTAAGAAAACATACAACTTTATGGATGACAACTTCTGGTTTATTACATTAGCGACGTTTCGATGTAGATTCTTACACCGTTTTCAAGCTGGAGTTATATTTGAGTTTTGAAACATCCAGTTTAAGATAAAAGATAGATATGTGTGCCTATAATCACATGGTTTGATTATTTATTTATCAAACAATATTATCAATTACATTACAAATTTTACTTATCTATGTTAATTTAGTATAATCGTTTTACGATTTATAGCCCATGGAAGTAGTTTTTCAGTGTCAGTTTGATTTTTGGAAACATGTATGTATGTGTGTAGGTGGTGTTTTTGCGTGTTTCTCTTTTGTCACACAAAATAGACTATTATAAATGACGCGAAAGGACGAGGTATGATAAGAACTTCAATGAGGAAAAACAGCTTTTTGTTTCTACCTTCAAGAGCAAACTTTACAGTGAACAAATTTATGTCTTTATCTACTTCTCCGAGGTTTTGATCAAAGACATTCTCGTTTTCAAATATTAGATACAGGCTTCTAAAACCTCTAAAATCAGTGTTGGTAATACATTTTAGCCTTATCTGTGCATTTAATATTGTTTTTGTCCAAACGACGTATACAAGTCGAAATGTAGAAGGCCTCATTGTCATTCACGTGTTGCTCCTTTCTATGATTATGCATAGCCTACATGCCAAATCTTCCCCTATCGAACCTTAGTCGTTGCCAGTCACGTAATGCAAGTGCTTAGGTTGTGGTCCAGACATACAGTTGTTTAAAACATGCAAGCGATAAGTAAGAGTGCCGCCTGAAAAGTCCTGAGCCTAACAATGCTGAATTGTGTCGATGGGGCTGGCTGCTAATTATTTCTTAACATAACCCCCTCGATCCAAGCGCCACAGGCTTCTGCCAACGATGCTTGAGTACCTGGATCCCAATGGTACAAAATGCTTCCTTCTGGTGGTGTAAAGGGTCTCCCACAGCAGAAAAGACGTCATCATCATTTCCATAATAGTTGCCATATTTGCAATATTTCTTAATTCAAATTTGGGAAGAGGTGGAAATCTGACTGTGCCAAATCTGGTAAATACGGAGGATGGTCAATGAGTTCTAAACATTAGTCATGAAATACAACCATGACGGCAACAGACTTGTACACAGGTGCATTAGTGAGTTTTCCACGACGTTTAGTCTTGATATTCGAATGCAGTTGCCTAAGCAGATTATCAGAATCTTGGTCATTAATGGTCTGACCTTTCGGAAGGTAGTCTACCAGTATGATTCCTTTGGAATCCTATAAAACCGAAGCCATCACCTTGCCAGCTCGTGGAACAAACGTTTCCTTCATCTTCAGAGGTGACGTTAGATGTTTCCACTGCTTTAACTGTTGTTTAGTCTTTGATAGAAAAGGGTGGATCCAATACTCATCCATATTTACAAACCGCAAAACAAACTCCGATGGGTCTGCTCCAAAACGATGTCAATTCTCAAGAATGACTATGAACCTGGAGCGTTTCTGAGTCAGAATACTTGGAACCCAGCGTGCTGAAACTTTTGTCCTGCCCGACGTATTCCTTAGAATGTCCTCAACTCTCTCGCCCAATTTCGTCTACACTTTACATGAATATATTATCATTGGTAGCTACCGAAAAGAGAGACTTTGAGCATCAGTAGAATTTCCAAACTAGTTATGCGAGGTAGATAAACGATCCTATCTGAAAGAGACACTGCTTTGACGACATAACATATACGTCATGGTAATAGTTCATCCCTGTACCGGTGTATAAATTGAATGTTGCTACTGATATAGCAACAGTTGCCTTTAGAATATGTATTCTTGAAATAAGTAACTGCATTGACCATAGTCTGTCTTATTGGCGTCACAAACTATTTATAATTGTGCTTCTGCTTGTATGTGCATAATTTCACTGATTTCTTTCTATGTCTTCAATGTTTGTATTTTATCATCCCCTCTGTACTTTTTTCGCAAAGGGATCCAACACGCTTGTCCATCATCCATCCGTAAGAATAGCATTCCTCAGCCGCAGTACCATCAGTGCTTCTTGGAACACATTTTGGCATATATCCAAGTTTACTTATCATCCTCCCTTTGAAATCGGTGTCATAGAGGTATATTTGGCGTGTGCTGTCAATTTTGAAATTTATTCCATAAGCATACCAATTGTACCTTTAGGACTGCAGACACCTGACGAGATAGTATTTGTGTTATTTCACATTGAGTACAGCCTTCTTATAGGAAGCTCTCATAATGCTCCCTGTTAAAATCACATGTCAGTACCAGTTTGTGACATTCTCACTCATTTCTAAAGGCAACTCAGACATTGCAGTGATTCATGGTGTAATTATGTGTTATGACGTTGCCACTTTAACTGCCAGTAAGGCTGAAAAAGTGCTTTAAACCTTCCTGATGTATTAATGTTAAAATTGTTACGTACTGTTCTTTACTTATTTGTCATTGTAAGCCAAGGCGATGAAGTACGTTAAATGGACATGGATATAGTTGAATCCGAGTTATACTTAGTTCTGGGATGGTATGAGTTGCAAGATATTCTGGTCATATTTCCAGTTCTACATCGGAGGACCATTTAAGTAACCGTGTGGACCAAACGAAATTCATGTGATGGTTTACCCTTATCCACCCTTTGTTATATTCTATGTAACTTGCTTCTAAAAAACTGTTGATCGGTATGTGGCTGAAATAATGTCGACGCGACTATACATTTTAACTCCCTCCCTCTAAACACTCCAGTAAACACACTTCTCAAAATTATCCTCAATCGTATTTTACAGAATTGCTTGATATAGTTTACAGTGTATGTTTCTCTGATGCAGAAATGAAATACATCAAATAAGAACTTAAGTTATATATAATAAATGACACAAATGTGAACATATCAACACCTTGTTAACGCCATCAACTATACGGAAATATTACATGAAATGGCTCTGACACATCTGTTGAAGTAAACTTTAGTGTGTCACTAAGCTGAACACACACACACACACACACACACACACACACACACACACACACACACACACACACACACACACACACACACACACACACACATACATACATACATACATACATATATATATATATAATCTATAGTTCCCTGCACGGCTGTGACAGCTGAAGGTGTCTCCTCTGTGTTATTTTGACATAGGGACATCGCAGTCCATTGCATAATTCGTAGGTGACAGTCGTTGTATATTGCCCCTCTCGAGGGACGTCGACTGAAATATGATAGCTCATATACACAGCAGATTACACAATTTACAATCCCTTTCATAAATAAGGATTTCATCGTGACATGTGACCCATATCGAGGGTCAAAGTTCACATACCACTTTGGCAAGCACCATCAGTGAACGCGGGGAATGGAACAGATTAAACACACAACTGACGTGACTGCTGTGATAGGAACTGTCATTCACATATCTTTCAATTTTTACGAAATATGTTTTATGGCATTTCAAGCAGCAACAGAACTTTGCCAAAAAGCTTCCACACGTCGTGAAAATATGTCTTGTATAGGTGAAGAAGACGAAGTAGATATTTAGTTGTCTGCGGTAGACTTTGGAAAGCTTAAATCATAAGTACATTAGAGATAGCACATGTATCCGTGAATGTGATTGTCTAGTACGCCAAGGGTTATCTCTGGACTACTGTTTAGTTGTGGATTTCGTTTGATTTACTGTCTATATACATATCTCTTCACTACAATGATAAACTAAGGTTTGCCCGCTTGTCAAGACAGACGTATATCATGGCATAAATATAAATATACAACATGCTGTTCAACTAACCTTTTTGATATAATGATTCATGGTGTTTTTGTTTTTCGACAAGGCATCGTCCTGTAATTACAGATAATAGTAGGAACATTATGTGTAGATAGAACACGGGTTGATGGATGTGTTTTAGTGGTTGATGGGCATCAGGTATTCAATTCATTTCTTTTTAACTTGAATGGTGTATTTTGGAGTTTGTTGTTTACTTGTAAATCTGACTTGAAATGAGTGGAAAGTAGGAGTTAAAGTAATACATATACTCTGACAGGCACATGTGTTGCTAATTAAATACCTGTTATTGTCAACTTCTATATGTTATATACCAACTGAATACTTAATACTGTAATACCATTTTAAGAGATATTCGTACTTTAGAAATTTAGATTGTTGACAGAGAAGCAAATTTTAATTAAATGAGGATTCCCCTGGTCCAGTTGTTGTAGGACACATCTAAGTATTAACAAATGAATAGGATTATTGAGAGATAAGCCGAAAGCATTTGAAGTCAGGATAGTCAGGTGTGACTGAATATTATAATAAGTACATGTTTAAATGAACCTACGACAACGACCAATGGAGTTATTAAACATGCGTAACTACGAAAACAAGTTCCATATTGAACAAGAGGAGAAGTATTCTTATGAAACATGACCATATTGTCGAATTGTGTCTTAAACTCAAATATTTTCTTTCTTTGTTTAGTCAAACAAGCGCATCATTCACAGTGTGATGATTTCGCATATTGGTTATAACGATAAGTAATATAATCGTAACACGAATCATCATCACCATTAATAGCATCGTTGTTGTCCCCGTTTTCTAATCATGTATCCAGTGTGTACCTGAGCATTACGAAACATTCACAAGTACATGTTTATGGATGTTTGCTGAATAAGGCGAATATTGAATTAGGCACTACATTTATTATTGTATAATGTTAGATACGAAAACAGTAATGAACTGAACAAATATTTCATCGCACAATCGCAATACTGTATCTACACAAGCACGCTGTGTCACCTACTTGAGTATAGTGGAGCATTTTCTTATTGCCAGTCTGTTGCAGTATTTGGTTTTTCTTCACTCAATATCAAGTTCATGTGATAATATTACAATGACGACATATTTGTACATACAATTTCAAGGTGTTTGTTTATAACATTATGTGAAGAATAGGTACCAGTACGGGCATAACAACATAATTCCCCCTTTTATTTATATTGAAAACTGTGTTAAATAATAAAAGTTTAAAGGAATTTACTGATCATAACTCACACGACGTGTTTAAAATTTGAATTGCAGCCTGTATCATTGTATGTTTTTCTTTGCCCACGCGCAAATCGTTTTCCTCATTCATTATTAATACAAAAATAAATGTGCTGCGTGGTCTGATTTGAACAGAAACTCTCAGTTAAACTGTGTGTTTGTGATAACTAAATTTCGTTGGTAGACACGGACGCTGACTTTTTGGTTGATTTAAAGTCAGGAAATGTGCATATGAGAGCATCACGAAAGAAGATCTTATACTTACCCGAGTCAAGCCTGTCTACAGTCGTCAGGAATGTAGTTTCGTGTTGATGTTAACCTGTGTTCCTAACCACTGTTTGTATATATTATGCCTCGGAAGGACCCTCAAATAGCACTCGTCGTCCCTAAGGCAATCTAACAAAAACACTATGTTAGCATTTATACGCCAAATTCGGGCTTAAATGTGAACTAAAATCTCATTTCCTGAGTTTGCTCAAAGATTTTTCCCTAGCCTTGCTCATTTTATTACCTACAAATATTTGCCTCCTACCTCCGACAATAACTCAAGTGGAAACAAATAAGGAGAAGCTGTTTATTTTTCATAACGCTTTAGAAACACTGACAAAATAGAATGTTTGCCTGCAAAGAGGATATAATTATAGGGTGTTGAGCTTCTTTGTCCACCTGAACCCCAGTGAAAGAGGGGGTACGGGGACTCCCTCGGGGGATCGTTGGCAACTGAATTGACAATGGGTGGCAGGCATACTGGGTATTGAGCCTATACAGGAGGGGTTGGCGGCTGTCGGGCGATATGAACTCTCTCTCTACAGTCGGACCAAGTTGGCATGAACTCAAATGTAAATTGAACGTCTTCATTAGAACTTTGTTAATAAACTTCAAACAACGTGTATTCATTCAACAGTAATTTAAGTATGAAGCGTTGAAGTGAAAGGACTGGCCACCCTTACACTGGAAGCTGATGAAAATAATATGGATTCTGATATGTTGACGAAGGGTGTCGTGTCTTTTTATGCGTCACAGGATGCGTGACGTGATTATATGGGTCACGAGGTAATGTACAATGAAACCTTGTTAATCCGAATCGACCGAATTAGAGTGAGTGAGTGTGTATGGTTTTACTCCGCTTTTAGCAATATTCCCGCAGGGGATTCCAGAAATGAGCTTCACACATTGTATTTGGAAGGGAGAACCAGGGTCTTGAACCGAATTAGAAAATGATGCTTTTTATCTAGGATGTTTGAAAGTGGGGAAACATAACTTTCAATACTAATCGCTCGGTGTATGAAGGTTCTGAAGTATTAAAATCCCCAGCAAAAATGAGGTTGTCCAGACAATTTTCCGAAATATGAAGTATCTGGTGTAGTGAGGTTTCTAGCAGAAATTGTCCGAAATTTGAACTGTCTGGATCAACACATTTCAAAGAAATATTTTGAAAAAAAATAAGTTTCCGGAGTGTCAAGGTTTAAAGAGATATTGTCCGAAATATAAAGTGTCCGGAGTATCAAGGTTTCAAGAAACAATAGTCCGAATTATGTTATGTCCGGGTATCGATTTTTTACAGAAATATTTGTTCGAAATATTATATGTCCTGAGTATCAAGATTCCCAGAAAAAAATGTCCGAAATAAGAAGTGTCCGGAGTATTGAGGGTATATGAAATGTCCTGAGTACCGACTTTTTCAGAAACAATTGTCCGAAATGTATAGTGTCCTGAGCATCAAGGTTTCAAGAAACAATAGTCCTAAATAAGAACTGTCCGCAGTATCAAGGTTTCAAGAAACAATAGCCCTAAATATGAACTGTACGGAGTATCAAAGTTTCAAGAAACAATGGTCCCAAATATGAGCTGTCCGGAATATCAAGGTTTCAAGATCACAAAATATGACGTGTACGGTGTATCAAGGTTTTCTTAAAATAAAGTCCGAAATATGAAGTGTCCGGAGTATCGAGTTTGCCAGAAATATTTATCCGAAATATGTAGTGTCCGGAGTACAAAGGTTTCTAGAAATAATGTCCGAAATATGAAGTGTCCGGATTATCGAGGTTTCCAGGAGTATTTGTTCTGAATATGAAGTGTACAGAGTATCGAGTTTTAAAGAGTAGTGTCCAGAGATGTTTATGACATTTCACCGCATGACGTAAGTTGTTCCATAAGTTTTTGTAAACAGGATAATCTTATTCGACTTCGTATGTAGCAAGTGACAATGTTCAGTAACAAACCTATACACACTATAATGTTGGCATATATTTCAATCATTTATTGTACAATGTAAGCATGACAAGGGCCAAGTTAGACAGGATGTTTAGGGTTTAATAATAAGGCCTTTAAATACACACGCTTCACTGTTTGGAGTGTTCAACCTCAACACGAGACATGTTTACAAGCATGCACAACAATCTCTCACATGTACGCATACCACATTGCGCCTCAACACACATAGTTCAATACTAGACTATATATGTCGAAGATATACATTGGCCTATTTGCACAGAACGCTCATAACGCTAAGCTATTGCACCCCCTGTACATTAATAGTTGTAGCACTAAGAATGCTGTATCTCCTATACAATGTATGTAAACACAAACATACAATAGCTCTAGCGTTAAGATCGTTGCATCTCCTATACAATAACACGGACCTCCATACATTAACACGAACGTACAACACTTGTAGCGCTTAGATTGTTGCATCTCCTATACATTAACAAGGACTTCGATACCTTAAGACGGACAAACATACGTTAACCCGCACTTTCAATAGTTTTAGCGCTTAGGCTGTTGCATCTCCGATACCTTAACACGGACTTCCATACAATAACTCGTACTTATGATACTTGTAGAGCTGAGATTGTTGCATCTCCAATACATTAACACGGACTTTCATACATTAACACGGACTTCCATACATTAACACGGACATCCATACATTAACACGGACTTCTATACATTAACACGGACTTCCTTACATTTACACGGACTTATGATACTTGTAGAGCTGAGATTGTTGCACTTCCTGTACATTAACACGAACTTACAATTCTTGTAGTGCTAAGATTGTTGCATCTCCCATACATTAACACGGACTTCCATACATTGACACGGACTTCCTTACATTAACACGGACTTCCATACATTAACACGGACATCCATACATTAACACGGACTTCCATACATTAACACGGACTTCCTTACATTAACACGGACATCCATACATTAACACGGACATCCATACATTAACACGGACTTCCATACATTAACACGGACTTCCATACATTAACACGGACTTCCATACATTGACACGGACTTCCATACATTAACACGGACTTCCATACATTAACACGGACATCCATACATTAACACGGACTTCCATACATTAACACGGACTTCCATACATTAACACGGACATCCATACATTAACACGGACTTCCTTACATTAACACGGACTTCCATACATTAACACGGACTTCCATACATTAACACGGACTTCCATACATTAACACGGACATCCATACATTAACACGGACTTCCTTACATTAACACGGACTTCCTTACATTAACACGGACTTCCATACATTAACACGGACTTCCTTACATTTACGCGGACTTCCATACATTAACACGGACTTCCATACATTAACACGGACTTCCATACATTAACACGGACATCCATACATTAACACGGACTTCCTTACATTTACACGGACTTCCATACATTAACACGGACTTCCATACATTAACACGGACTTCCATACATTAACACGGACATCCATACATTAACACGGACTTCCATACATTAACACGGACTTCCTTACATTAACACGGACTTCCATACATTAACACGGACATCCATACATTAACACGGACTTCCATACATTAACACGGACTTCCATACATTAACACGGACTTCCATACATTGACACGGACTTCCATACATTAACACGGACTTCCATACATTAACACGGACATCCATACATTAACACGGACTTCCATACATTAACACGGACTTCCATACATTAACACGGACTTCCATACATTGACACGGACTTCCATACATTAACACGGACTTCCATACATTGACACGGACTTCCATACATTAACACGGACATCCATACGTTAACACGGACTTCCATACATTAACACGGACATCCATACATTAACACGGACATCCATACATTAACACGGACTTCCATACATTGACACGGACTTCCATACATTGACACGGACTTCCATACATTAACACGGACATCCATACGTTAACACGGACTTCTATACATTAACACGGACTTCCTTACATTTACACGGACTTATGATACTTGTAGAGCTGAGATTGTTGCATCTTCCTTACATTAACACGGACATCCATACATTAACACGGACTTCCATACATTAACACGGACTTCCATACATTAACACGGACATCCATACATTAACACGGACTTATGATACTTGTAGAGCTGAGATTGTTGCATCTTCCTTACATTAACACGGACCTCCATACATTAACACGGACATCCATACATTAACACGGACTTCTATACATTAACACGGACTTCCTTACATTTACACGGACTTATGATACTTGTAGAGCTGAGATTGTTGCATCTTCCTTACATTAACACGGACATCCATACATTAACACGGACTTCCATACATTAACACGGACTTCCATACATTGACACGGACTTCCATACATTAACACGGACTTCCATACATTAACACGGACATCCATACATTTACACGGACTTATGATACTTGTAGAGCTGAGATTGTTGCACTTCCTATACATTAACACGAACTTACAATTCTTGTAGTGCTAAGATTGTTGCATCTCCCATACATTAACACGGACTTCCATACATTAACACGGACATCCATACGTTAACACGGACTTCTATACATTAACACGGACTTCCTTACATTTACACGGACTTATGATACTTGTAGAGCTGAGATTGTTGCATCTCCCATACATTAACACGGACTTCCATACATTGACACGGACTTCCATACATTAACACGGACTTCCATACATTAACACGGACTTCCATACATTGACACGGACTTCCTTACATTAACACGGACTTCCATACATTAACACGGACTTCTATACATTAACACGGACATCCATACATTAACACGGACTTCCTTACATTTACACGGACTTCCATACATTGACACGGACTTCCATACATTAACACGGACTTCCATACATTAACACGGACTTCTATACATTAACACGGACATCCATACATTAACACGGACTTCCATACATTAACACGGACTTCCATACATTAACACGGACTTCTATACATTAACACGGACTTCCATACATTAACACGGAC